TCACCAGTGCCGTGGAGAAACTCATAGTCGTCCCTGGTGTCCGCTATGACCCGCAGGTCTTGCTAACCATGTATCTTCGATGTTTTCCCATAAACATCAAGAAATCGATGGTTAGCAAGGCCATCATGGATTATCACACTCTTGACTCCTTCAGCAAGAAGGGCTTAGATTTCGAGGGTAAGCTGGGAGGAGCACAAAAACCTGCTACGGACGGTAGGAAGAAGAAGCCCCCACAGGAATGGAAAAAGAAGGGTAGTCAATTGATGATGGTTGATTCTAATGGGAATCAAACCAAGATCGATGATCTTTCCAATCTTGTGGAGGAAACAGAGATAGGTGGCGAGGAGAGTGCAAAGGGTGGCAACCTCGCCGCCATAACCGAAGGAAAGGCAGCTGGCCACGGCAAGGGCGGTCAGCAAAAGAGTCAGGGGCAGGCTCATAATTAGTTAAACGCAAGTCAACTTTGGAGACTTCCATTACTCCACAGGCCGTTGTGAAATCTCTGCCAACGCGGCCTGTGTTTTACATATGATTTTCTTTGTTAACAGGAGAATCATACTGATCATGCTCAAACAAGATTCCGACTTGGGTGAGGGCTGGCCTGGATCCGGATTTGTGGAGGAACCGTTATGTGCGAGGAGCTTGCATAAACTGTGGTGAGTATGGCCATCAGCAGTTTAAGTGCAAGAACTCCAAGGTCTCTCAAAAGATTCCGCCCTAAGTGCAAGAACTCCAAGGTCTCTCAAAAGATTCCGCCCAAAGGTGGTTTTGGTGGATCTTTCGCCCAAAGCAGTGCTTCTACGAGTGCCAATCAGGGAAACAGATCCGGCCAGTAGAAGTTATAGCTGCTTCTACTCATGCTGAAGTGGTTGACGTACCCTCACCACTTCAGGAGTTGGCCGAGGCAATTGACTCACTTGTCACCGCGCTGACACATCTAGACCAAACGACTCTATGTTATTGGATGTATTGGAAACCCTAGAAAACTTAGAAATGGAGTGGTAAAGGGACCCTCGTGAGTCTTGGGTGGCACTGTCAAGAGGTCCTAGAGGGGAGCATTTCGTTGTGAAAGTCAGTGTAGGTGGCCTGGTATGCTTGACGATGCGAAGAGGTACGTACAGACTTGTCAAGTCAATCAACGGGACAAGCAGCGTACTCAAGCTCCGCTTGGGTTATTGAAGCCTTTGCCCATTTCTGCTGGTTCAGGATAGAGTGTCTCCATGGACTTCATGGATACCCTCGTGACCAGCAAGAGTGGCAAACGGCACATATTTATCACAGTGGACAGGTTCACCAAGTACGCTAGACTAATTCCTATGTCGGAGAGCGCCAAGACTGAGCACGTCAATATGGATAACTGGGTGCGTGACTTTGGACTGCCCAAGACCATCGTTAGGATAGAGATGTTTGTTTCACCAGTGAGATGTGGAAGAAGGCTGCCGAACAGATGGGCAGTCAACTCCAAATGACTTCGGGAAATCATCCCGAAGCAAATGGCCAAGCAGAACAGATGAACCGTGTGGTGCAGCATCTACCGAGGCACTATAAAATGCCAGGATGACTGGGATGAGAAACTACCTCTCATCGCCAATCTGTACAATAACGATGTACACATCCCCACCGGCGACAGTCCTAATCAGCTGCATTTGGGGTGGAAGCCTAGACCAGCGCTAGACTTCCTCCTACCTGGAAACCGACTGACTGCAACTCCTGGAACCATTGAATTTGGTGTCCAGTATGAGAAATTGTTGCAGCAGGCTTTCGAGCACATCAAGAAATCTCAAGAGGCAATGATTGCCTCTGAGAACCAGCATAGGCGACAGTCCACATGTCACGTAGGGGAACGCGTCTAGGTAAAGGCTAGCGAACTGGGACAGGAATTCGGTATCTCTAGAAAACTAATGCCGCCGCATTTTCGTCCTTGGGAAGTCCTAAATATCGTGGGTAGTGATCTGGATGGTCCCTTGTACATCATAAGAATCCCTGGTCATCTGGGCACTTACCCTGTATTTCACGTTTCCAAGCACCTTTCGCTGAGACAGATCTGTTCCCATCAAGAAGGTCAATGCTGCCCCCAACCATGGATGGCCACGTGGACGTTGACGATATTCTGGAACACAGAGAGTTGGCTGTTCCCAAACCAGTGGGCAGAGGAAGGCCCAAACCTGTAAGGGAGTACCGGGTCAGGTTCAGGCATCATACGGATCCGAACGAAGATCGTTGGTTCACAAGAGAGGAGCTTTTCAAGACACCCCCTAAAATTGTGGCAGAATAGGAGTGGAGATTAAGGGGAAGGCACCTGCGTAGAAGCATCTCAGCGGACTTTCGAAGCTAAGGGGGATGAAATGCGAGGAATGAGCCCTCTCTCTCTCTCTCTCTCTCTCTCTCTCTCTCTCTCTCTCTCTCTCTCTCTCTCTCTCTCTCTCTCTCTCTCTCTCTCTC